GAAAAGGGGGGGGGGGGGCGGCGGCAGAGGGGAAAAGCCATGACATCAGCAGCTCATGGGAGAAGGAGTAGGAAGATGCTAGGTAAATCAGTGGGATATGCCCACTGGTGGAGCAGTGGCTGAAGGAAGGGAGATGGGGATAGCAAGTCTATGGTATGTGCCATGTTGGGATTTTGGTGGTGGTTTCTGAGTGGTAGGAGGAGAGGAAAGGGAAAGTGCTGGGAAAAAGAGCCATTGAATAAGATATATCATGCCAGAAACTATAGAGAGAACAGAAGGAAGGACATCCATTAGTCTTGCCTTATTTGCCCTGTCCAGATTTTGTCCAGGTTAGTCCATAACCTGGAACATCCAAACATTCCAGGTTTTGACTCTACTGAACTGTGGCTGACCTGAAATGATGTGGCAGAACCTCTGGGAAAGGATGATTGGTTCCAGGTTCAAAGCAAAACATTTTCCCCATTCCATGCACCCTTGAATATGTAGCAACAGTCTTCCAAAGATCATAGTCTGCACAAGTACCATTTGAAATCAACTTTGAACAGCTTCCCTTCATACTCTCTGTGGAAGAAAACCATTTGCTTTGGGGAATGGACAACTATAATATTCAATTGCCTCAGTCTCTGAATTTCCCTGCAAACTTTTACAGGGATAACAAGTAGGGAGCAAATTGTATTCTGGCAATCTGAGATAGAAGTTCTTGACATTCCTCTATAAAATATCACCAAGCAATTTAAAATCAAATCCTTTGGAATACAGGCAGGTGGACTCGTTTCAAAATGAAACTCAGCATTTAGAGCAGTGTTTTTCAACTTTAGCAACTTTAAGATGAATGGACTTCAACTCCCAGAATTCCCCAGCCAGCCATGGGAGTTGAAGTCCACTCATCTTATAGTTACCAAGGTCGAGAAACACTGATTTAGAGTGTATTTCTTGCACATGTAAAACTGCAGTTTCACTCAACTCATTGAACTGGCATTTATACGCATATCTTCTTTGAGGTGCATAACTCTTTTAGCTTTTGTAATTGGCAATTCAACACTTTCTATGGTGCATATATTTCAAAAATCAAGCCAAGAATACTGGTCTGTTTCTTCTCTGAGCTATTGAAATCAATATATTGGAGGATTTCTTGAAAAATATGGAATGGTCCCATTGTTTTTTCCAGGTTATCTTCATTTATCTTAGCTATCTTCAAGTTTACCCTGTTTGGATATTCATTTTGAGATAAATGATTAAAAAGGGATGGAAGTTTGATTTGGTCTTGAGTCTTCAGAAAACAGTCATATTTATAGTGTGCCTTCAGTGTATGGGGCTTTTGTTTAATGTGTTGATTCCCCTACTCAGTTTCCTGTATCATCTTAAAAAAAAAAAAGTTACTGGTACTTGCTCTCAACTATTACACACCATAAGTTTGTTGTCTCCATTTTCAGGGGTAGCAGCTGAGGTATCTGCATTGATAGTGGCCACCAACATTATTTCTAGTCCAAAGTTGTTTTTGTTGCTTTTGGATTCACACAGTGGCCTTCATTTTATTAAACTACTTTTGCAGTATTCCAGAGTTTTAGAGAAATAGATTTTTTTCATCCAAAGTATCTGATCCTGCTAAGTGTTGCATATTTTCAGTGCAGTTCTGTAGTAAAATGTGTGATGAAATGTAAATATCTGGGCAGTTAGAGATTAATATGTTTATATCTTTAATATAAAGCTGGTGTTTTGGACAGAGAGCATCTCTGTGGGTAATTCCCCCTTATCAAGAGAGTTTGAAATGTGCAAAACTATCTTAAATTTGCAAATACTTTCCTTAAAAATATCTTTCTGCAACCTGGATACCTTCCAGCTCTGTGCATTTCAACTCTCAGAATTCCCTAGGTAGCATGGTGGTGGTTAAGAATTCTGAAAGTTGAAATCCACCAGGTTGGGGAGGGTTGCCCTAAAAATTATAACTCTGTGTGGTAATTAAAGCTTGATATCTTGGAAATGGGGAGAGGGAAAAAGTAAAGGGAACCTCCATTTTTCTGTACCACTCCAGGTTATTTTTAATGATAGTGCTAAATTTTGTAAGCATCTGTAGAACTTCAGGTGCCAGGCTGTGCACTACACACAATGCCTTAATTTGCATGTTCTGTGTGGTAATTAAAGCTTGATATCTTGGAAATGGGGAGAGGGAAAAAGTAAAGGGAACCTCCATTTTTCTGTACCACTCCAGGTTATTTTTAATGATACTGCTTAATTTTGTAAGCATCTGTAGAACTTCAGGTGCCAGGCTGTGCACTACACACAATGCCTTAATTTGCATGTTGTTTTTCCTTTATTATTTAGACATAAACCCAGTTAGTTCTCTTATTTCGGAGGAGTGTGTTGGAAAATCAGAAACAATGTATACAAAGAACACCACTCACATTATACCTCACATAAAGGACATAACTGAAATTCTTACCTTTTCAGAGATATTTTGAGAAGATTATTTCTAAAATTTCAGAGGGAGATATATTTTGACATTCTTTTGGGTAAGTTGGGGATGCTGCTCATTTAGTTCTGGAGGATCTTCCAGCATTGAGCCATGTATTTTATGTGGGTGGGAGGGGGGTTATTTTGCTGTTTTGTTTTCAAAAGAATTTATTTTTTGAAGGGCATAATTACATTTAATTCATTATATCTTTGTTGCTATGTTTTGACTTATGAGGGAAAGGACTGTGAATTTTTAGTTGGATTTCTTTCTCTTTTTAATTTGGAATTGCATTTCAGAACAATTAGGATATACATTTTTAGTAATCCTATGATATACCTCATAAAAGTGCTCTGTCAGAAATAGTAAGCTATGGTAAACTTTGCAAAGGAGCATTTTCTTCTTATTCATGTGAACACAGATTTACTGGGCAGTGTTCTGCTGTTCTATGTTTTGGAGACAGAATAGGCTGGTAGAGTTAGCTTTCAAATAAATATACTGTACATAAAATCATTGGGCTGCCCTTACTACATTAAGAAGCAGGGACTATTACACCAATGTGCATTATATCTTGGATTTCAGTGCCCATTATTATTTTGTAGCATGCACCATCAAAATATTTCAAAGAGGATTTTACTCTGGTGCTTGATGTCAACTTTCAAGGACCCTTCAGTCCATTGCTGGCCCTGGCAGCCAGGAAGATGAGCCAGTAAGATGAAGCACATGGCACAAGCTGTCAGTTTACATGGCAGAATTCTAGGTATTCACTAGCTGGGATGGCACATCTGGGGTAAAAGTTGTCTGCCTTTCTCCAGGATGATTGGCGTAATTTTGGATGACCACCCAAGTGCTAAATTAAGGATGTTGAAGTTGCCATACAGCCATATCCAAACATCCTTACAAGCTGTCTACTCACAGATTTTTCTTGCAAAAGAAAAGAGAAAAACAGAGAAAGAGGCACCTTCTCTCTGGTAGAAAATGGCTTTTTGAAAGTTTTGATCTTTCTCAGAAGTAATCTTTATACAATGTCCATCTCAATAAGGCTTGAGGGATGTCAATGGATATTTTCCTTCAAGCCCCTAATGAACATGGACTCTTGGCCACTCGGGCTGGGCCCATGGATTTCAGTTACGCTATTCACCATGGACTCCCTCTGTTTCTAGGCTCTGTATATGAACTGAAGCTTCAGGTTAACTGGTCCCCAGATTACTGGTGTGTTCAGATGTAGAGAAAGAGAAAGGTTCCCAGAGCACTTACAGCGGCAGGTTTAGAATTATGACATCTCAGTTAAATGATCAGCTGTTGCACTTTCCTGGCAAGGTGCATGTGCAAAGAAGCTTCATGGGATCAATTTGAGTGAACTCTCAGTTCACATGGAGTGATGCTGAAGAGTTCTGTGCTTTGGATAACACTGGGAGCCACTAAAGCTTCTCTTCCAGATCAGGTGGTATGTGTTTGTCAGCAGATCCATCATGGTGGAATGGATTTGTTGGTAGATTGGATGTTTGCAAACCATCACCTTGTACCAGTTTTGGTGTCAGGGTAGTGGATTGTTCATTCAATGGTTGTGTTCAGAGAT